GAGCGCCCTGCCCTGCCCCGCCCTGCCCTGCGTCTGCCCCGCCGGGGCAGCGGCGGCGCGGCTGTGGGACCTCGGCGGCGGCCTGCTGGAAGCACCTGCACAGTGCAAAACGGAGCCTCTTTAAATGCTGCTGAATCTCAGTGCCCTGCCCCGCCCCGCCGGGGCAGCGGCGGCGCGGCTGTGGGGCCTCTGCACCTGCACAGTGCAAAACGGAGCCTCTTTAAATGCTGCTGAATCTCATTTCTGGCGTAACAGATGCAGCCGTGCCCCTGAGGTCAGCAGAGGTGTGTGTACCTGTTAGTTTCAAGTGCCGAAACTGCTCATAGACTTAGGTTCTGGCAGCTTGGCTGCAAATCGGTTGTAGCTCCGTACTTGAAACATAGAACCAGAGGCCCAAAATCTGTCTGGAATTCAGAAAACTTCTGACAGGGTCTTATAATCCTTTATTAGCAGAGCACGTATATGGTTTATACTTCAAAATGAAAGGCATGCAGGCCAAAGCCTTAAGAAAGGGAAGGTTTATACTTTATTCCAGCAGTTCAATCACAGTGCTAATAAAACCCGACTTAAATAATACTGCGTATTTTGTCTTGCTGTGCTATTTCAAGGGCCCAACAAAGTGTCTTTTATTAGATGCCACTGGAAAAGACAAAAAGGGCAGATTCTGGTACTCCTCAAATAACACAGTGAGATATTAAAATACAATACTGTTACTGGTAGCTTATAATGGTATTCATGAAACAATGACTCACTTAAGTTTAAAACAACTTGTGTCTGGTGAACAACTTTTTTTAGTTATGCGTCATCAAAAACTTTCTGCATATAACTTGAGAGTTCATATACTACACATATGCCTATGTCCCAGGAACAGTTTTGCTAAAAATCAGCCTATTAGATAAGCATCAGACCACCTAAGCTACTTGCTGAACAAATCCATATATATACAGGAATAGGTAGCTGCAGTGCCATGGTTTGACCCTAGCCAGCAGCCAAGATGCACATGGTCACTCACTTCTTCCCCCACCCGCAGGACTGGTGAGAGAACTGGAAGGGTAAAAAGTAGAAAACCTGTGGGTTGAGATACAAACAGTTCAATAGGAAAAGCAAAAGCCACACATACAAGCAAAGCAAAAAAAGGTATTAATTCACTGCTTCCCATGGGTAGGAAGGTGTTCAACCATCTGCAGGAGAGCAGGGCTCCATTGCCTGTAGTAGTTACCTGGGAAGACAAACATGATCACCCCAAACATCCCCTCCGTTCTTCCTTCCTCTCCTCACCTTATATACTGAGCATGATGCCATCTGGTCAAAAATATCCCTTTGTCACTTGGGGACACCCGTCTCAGCTGTGTCTCTTCCCAACCTTTCATTCAGCCTCACTATCCTTACCAGCATAGCAGTACAAAAAGCAGCAAATGCCTTGGCTCAATGCAAGCCCTGCTCAGCAATATCAAAAACATCTCTGTGTTATCCATGCTGTGTTCGGCACAAATCACAGAATAAGCTGAGTTGGAAGGGGCCCTCAAAGATCGAACTTGCTACCCCCACACTGTGAATAATCATTCTACCCCAGGCCAAACCAGTACAGCAAGCAGCAACGTGCATCAGAAGCCAGGCCTTTGGAAGATAATGGCAGAAATCCCCGTGGTCCTTCCTGCAGCAAGCGGTTCAGCATGGAGTGTTTTATTTTTCATTAGTGACAAAGATCCGGTTGGTCGCTCGGCCACAGCGGAACCGCAGCAATGAGCAAAGAGGTCCGTGCGTGAAGAAGGAGCGGAGGCGGCCCGTCGGCAGGTGTTTGCCGAGCCAGGGGAGCGCTCCATGCGCCCCGCACTGGGGCCGGTCGAGGCCGGCGGCACCGGGGAGCGGCACCGGCGGAGCCGCCGCACGTGAGAGACGAGCACCACTGCGCACGCGCGCCGGCCGGCCTGCGTTCTGGACGGGCGGGGCGGGGCCGGCCACGCGAGCCATAACGAGGCTCGAGGCAGCGCTGGGCATGCGCGCGCCCTGCGCGCGCCGCACGGGGCAGCCATTGGCTCCCCGCCGCGTTTCGGCGGGCGGAAGCGGAAGCGCGTGTGCGCGCGCTCCCATTTCCGCCGGGCGGGCGCGCGGGTTGATTCGCTGCGCGCGGGGCTCGGCCATGGCGGGTGAGTCCCGGCCCGGGGCCCGGGAGCTGCCGCAGCCTCGCCGTGACGGGCAGGGGGGCCGGGGGTAGCGCCGTGACCGGGGCGCGGGGCAGCGGAGCGTGAGCTCAGGAGCGGCGGATGCGGGTGGGCGGGGGATCGGCTGTGAGGGAGGGGAGCCCGGCTGCCTCTGCCGCCCGGCTGCCGTGGTCCTGCTCCTGCGTGTCTTCGGGCTTATGGCTCCCACGGGCTGGTCGTGCCAAACCAGAGTCTGTGTCCCTGGCCACGAGTTTGCCGGCGGTGGGCAGCCAGTTAAAAATCCGAAAGTGTTTGCGTAAAGTTTGCTGCCTGAAGTAACATGTAGAAGAAGTTTCCTGTGGTACTTCTGAAATGAAGGGGGGCTATGTTTGTGAAGCATTTGGAATATACCGGAGGTGAAACGTGTCTTCTGGACTAGATTAGGCTTTGGAAATCAGATGAAATAGTTTGTTTGCATTTTTCTTCCACATCCGTTCTGGAAGAGTAGTGCTGGCTAAATAATTGCTAGTGGTATACGTGCCACTGTAGTTCATTAACAGCAGTTTATGAAAATGACTTAATGCAAACACTTGAAGTGTCCTGACACGTGTTACTTACAACATGTTATATTGAGTTCTTATTCAGTAAGAAGTTATATCTTGTTCAGTAACAAGTTATAAGTAACACATGTGAAATATATATTTAATTTGTAGTATCTTGGAATACTTAATGTTTTTATAGCAATGACTTTAATTCTCAGAAACTAAAAAGAGATGTATGTTTTCTAGTTCCAGAAGAGTGTGTGAGATAGATCTCTTTATCCTCTGTGTGGTATATTATAGCTTTGACACGTTGTGGTATATTATAGCTTTTCTAATCTTTCTTGTTCAGTGGTTTTGTGTTGTGTGTTTTTTCTTGGTTTATGACCCTTTTTCTAATATATTTTTTGAGTAACAATGGCAGAGAGATTGGACACCTCTTAACTCTTAAAAAACCTTTTCTTTTCAGGACTTACTGCTATGGAGAAGAAGCTGGCTGAATACAAGTGTAATACAAATGAGGCAATTCAGCTGAAGCTAGGTAATGCCACTTCTTAATATTGTGATTAAGCAAGTGATACTGAAGTATTCTAGTATCTTCCTGTGAAATATATACATTTGTGTCAATTTCTCAGTTCTAGTCTGATTACTGACTTGATACTCGTAGATCAAGTGACATGCACCTAAATTGTATGGGATGCCTTGATTTCATTTGTGTGCTACACTCACATGGTTTCTTAACTAGAGTTGTCTGACTCTAGTAGAGAGGTGCATGAACTTGGCAGGCCTTCTGTGGGTAAGCAAATGAAAGGTGGTGGGTGACTTGGTCATGCTCTATTCTTTTTATTTTCTCAGTTCGCTTTCCTGAGGATTTGGAGGATGAGAACACAACGTTTAATCCAGAGTACAGCCATCAAGTGTTTGGAGATGAGTAAGTCAAAGTTTCCAGATTAAACTAATAGGTCCCAAAGGGCAAAGTGGTTTCCAAATCATTAAAAATACCAAAAAAAATTGCTAATACTGAGTGCAAGATGTGAGAAGTGCTGGCCTGGTGCTGCTGCTACATTTGCTGATACAGGCCAGGATGCCCTGGCCTTCGTGGCCACCTGGGCACAGGCTGACTCGCTCATGTTCAGTCACTTGTCCACCACCAGCACCCCCAGCTCCTTTTCCAGCTGCTCTTCCCCAAGTCTGCCACTTTGAACCCAGGTCCAGCAGATGAGCTCTCCTGTCCAGCCTAGTGTTGACTGCAGCCTGACTTAGGGAGCATTCAGATCACTGATGGAGACATTAAATGGGACTGTCCCCAACACAGCCCTGGGGAGCACCACAGGGGAACAGCTGTCAGGTGCATTTAACTCCATTCCCCACCACTCCTTGGGCATGGCCATCCAGACAGTAGCACCTGCTCAGGCCATGAGCAGCCAGGTTCTCCAGAAGAAGGCTGCTATCAAAGCCTTTCCTAAAGTGTAGGTAGAAAAGTATTGTTTATTTTATTTTGAGTATGCTGAATTAATTAGTGCTGAAGTGTCATTTATTATTTTCAGTATTTTCATTCAACAATCTGGCCATAGATAAAAAAAATCCATCACCAAAAAACAAAACAAACCAAAAAAACCCAAACAAACCTAGGGAGAATCCACCTGCATGTTTCTGTGGACTTCTGTAAGTAGTTGTGTTTCTTAATTTCAGTTTCCTTTTGAAAGCATTCTAAGTACTCCAATTAGAATGAGCTACCTATATTAAATGTAATAAATTAGTTACACTAATAGATGTCTACTGTAGCTATCATTGACAATAATTATAATTTTAGTAATCAGGGAACTCTCTGATCTGTTAGTTTAGCTAACAAGGCTATTGTTCTTCTGGCACTTACATTTAAAGTTTTAAATTATGAATGTACTACCATAAAAGAAAAATCCCATTTAAAAAAAGTTTTAGCTATGCTTTAACAAAATAAAAAATAGCCTGTTTCTTTGTGAACATTACTATCTTCTGCAAGTTTTTTTCAGAAAAGAAATTCTCTGTTCTTCATAAGAGTACAGAGTTTGTGTTCAGGCAGCTCGTATCTGTAAAAAAGACTTTTGTATTCTATAGTTCTTTTTGCAAGTACTAATTTCTGATTAGACTGGATAACTAAACAGAATCTGTCAACTAAAAACTCCACAAATTGCTACACCTGGTTATCTGTGCTTTGTACATTATAGAGTGAAGTGCTTTACTCCAAAATATTATTCTACACTGCAAAGTAATTTTTAATAAATGTTATCAATCAATTAATGTAAGTAACTGTTAATCAGTTAAAGCTGTTGAAAAAACATAGACACAGTATGAGCTGTTTCAGGTGTTCTCTCCTGAGCTGTCAGAGCAAGGACACAGGCACTGCCTTACCGAGTTCAGAATATTTCCACTAGAGGAGCGAAGTAACAGAAGCAGTGTAAGGCATTATCTCTGTCCTATGGCACACGTCCACTTTGGTTGCCTTTTTCTATTAGGGAGCTTACCTGACCTTGCCAGGAAAGTTGATGTGAATGTCACGTGAAATGAAGCCGCTGTGATGTGAATGTTTTGTTTTGTATCGAGTTCCTGGCTGTTATTTTCTCCTTTCTCAGTGAAGTTGCTTTTGGCTACAAGGGACTCAAGATCCTCTTGTATTACATTGCTGGAAACCTGTCCACGCTCTTCCGCATTGAGTACACATCAAGAGTAAATGAGAAGTTTGACTGTGTAGAGGTGAGTGCAGCTTTGCTTCTGTCTTTAACATAACATTGAGAAGGTTTACTTCAGTTCTAGGTTTAGTAATTGCCCACCTAGATATGGTTTGAACTAAAAGGAAAAGACCAGAGCTTCCATTTGCTAAGCTAATAAGCTTTGAACTTCATTTCCCATTCCCTGACGACAGTGCAATTAGGATTGTGTCAAACAGAACAGTCAAGTGTGAGGTGCTGATGCCAAAGCCAGTTCCACAAAATAAACCTCAACTTGGCAAGTTTGTATTTTCATATTAACTGTGACCAGGAGGAGGACTAGTATTGGTGGGGTTAATGATGGAGAGAATCAGTGAGAAGGAAAAGGTGGTTTATGTGAGAACTTCATGAGATAGTATGCTTGACTGTGTCTCTCTAAACATGGAGAACAGGTAGGGCAGAAAAGAGATTATAAACTTCTGTAGGGGTATCTTGTATGCTTTATATCTTTCTTAAGGGAATGTGATAATACACTTACCTGCAGGGTTTTTGTTTGGTTGTTTCTTCTTTTTTGTGCAGGTTTACTGAGCTTATAAAACACTTGTAGAGTAGCTTTTTTATTTTTTCCTCTCCTATTGTCTGTATGTTCTCCAAACATGACTTCAGACTGCTTTTAAGTTACTACTTTCAAATTCGTTGGAGTTGATTTAAATAATTTCAAGGAAAGGCCTATTGTAAAAGGAGAAGTACATTGGAATTATTTCATTAAAATTATTTTAAAGATTTGCCCTTCCTTGTTTTGAAGACGTATTAGAATATACTCAGTTCAACAGGCTAAATTCCTGGACATGTCTGAAATACTTTGGAGGCTAGAGCAACATGTCTTAGGAGTAAAAGGTCATGTTATTCAATCTTCAGGATTTTTTGGAAATAAGGGAAAAAAGAAAAGGCTGTTGGCCGTATAGTAAACATACTAAAATCAAATTGAACAATCTTTCAGTGCTAGAATTTCAAAATAAAACAGGAATCTGCCCCATAGCACCTTGTTGCTTCATCTATTTTCTGTACAAATGGCAAACCTAGTTTACTTCTCTGGAGGTCTAAACAAGGTCTGTCTTGCCCTATGCACACTAATTTTTTGATTGATCAAAATTGTTTGTTTTTTCAAGGCCTGTTTCCTATACTGAATTATTCCTCCAATTCCTTTAAGGACTGAGATGGGAACAAAAAAGATCTTTTTGAGCAGCACTTGTGTTAGCTTTCCAGAGCATTTACATGCCTTGACTGAAGGGGAAGAATGTGGTTGCTTACCCTGTGCTTCCCTTAGCATTACTAGTACTGTACAGTCAAATAAGCTGCTTATATGCATATATATATATATATATATATATACACATATATATATGTAGGAAAAAATACATGTCTGTAGTCAATCTCCTGCACTTGTATTTGCTGTCGGTTTATCCACCCTAAGATAACGCATTTGCAGAGATTAAACCATAAGCTGT